CATAAGCATCCCATAAGCATGCTCCCAATACTTCTGTTAGTCTCAAAGGTGCCACAGGACCCTCTGTTGCTTTTTATGTCTAACCAGTGTTTTTTTTAGGGTTGCATCAGCAATTAGTCACCTGTTTAATTTAAAATTATCCTTAAGTGACAATACTGAATTGAAAATCTTTTGCATGATGTAAATCTATCACCATCTTTATGAATATAGAAACCTGAATAGTTTTGTAGTTTTTAAATTTACTCCATTACAAAGGCAGTTTAACAGCCTGGAAAGATGAGGAGCCAGTTTGAAAGAGATAACATAGCTGTTGTGTATTTAGGAATATCTTTCTTTCCAAGCACATTAAAAACATTCATTTATACTAACTGGAGTTTACAGAAGAACATCATACTTTGTACATTTTCCTACTATTGTTACAATGGCAACCAAGACTGACTTACAAATTACTTATTTTAGATTTACATGTTGCATTTGACATCACTTTGTGTGTAGTCATTTTCAGTGTTTCCCCTTTGTTATTAATTTCCATGTTTGTGTGGGTCTTTCAAAGAAAACGTTTGTTTGTTTTTAAAATAGGAAATTGTGATGGTAAAACAAACAAAAAAAATGGCCAGAGACTCAGCAGAAGGTGTAACACCTTTTAGCTCATTTTTTGAAGCTGACTAAGTTTTTCCTTGGCTAGCAGGGAAAGGGAAGTATATCTTTTGGACCTTTATTTTTTTAGTAATTAAAGCTTACGTAAAAGCATTTGTAGTTTATATACAATATGATGCACTTTGCTTTTAAAGTAAATTTAGAGTCCATGAGAAAGGCATTGGCCTGGCAGGCAATACAGGAAGCAAGTTACAAAACAGATACAACACAGGAAGGATGTCAGCTTTCTCACAATGCTTTGCCAAAATGTTTCTACAAGACCTCTAGCTGCCAATTCCAGCAATGAACATAGTAGACGTATCCAGGGCCCATGTAACAGTTGCTCCCTTGAGTCTGCCAATAGGAGTACAATATCAATAATGATTGAGACGTTTTCCCCACTTGGACCCCACTTGGACCGGATGTGAAACCAACCAGTTTTTCAGGTATGCCTTCAAACTGCTGTCACACAGATTAACTGTTACCAAACTGAAGTGCAAGAGGAACTGGCTGTCCAGTTGCAAGCTCTAACATACTTTTTAAAAGATTACATCCTTCATTACCTATCTTTAGCGTCCGCTGTGAACCTTCCTTTGAGCTACCAAAGATACGCTGTAATTCACATTTTCCAGTGAGCTGCCTCAAGATCCATTTCAGCCAAAACCGGAAGAAGTTACTATACAGGTATCTCCATAAGTACACAAACATTTTCTGTGCAAAGAGAGTGACAACTGATCACAGGGCATTCGTTATCTGACACTACAGAAACAATTGTACAATCTGTCTGGGCTGCAAGCTCTTGCTGAGCTGCTAATGATGGTAACATCTGCTCCCTCTCACGTGGCGAACACTCTTCATCTGTCAGAAATGAAAGGCTGAGTGCCCCCTTAGCTGCAAAGGGTAAAGAAGGAGAGACGCTTTGTACTAGAGCTGGCGGTTGGGGAGGGTCAATGCCAAGCCTTAAGGGGGGGGGGGGGAAGAGGCCTAGAAGCACTGCCAGAGCAGGACACAGGCTGCCAGGCACCGCCCCAGCCTCCTCTTCCTGCTCTGCACAAACACCTCCCCGTTGCCCTGCAGCCCCCTAACTGCAGCCCGGGGGGGAGCCATGCCCACCGAGGAAGATGCGCAGGGGCGGGGGGAGAGGTAGCGAGGCCGATCGAAAGCGAGGCTGTTGCCCTATCGCTCATCCGGACAGGTGTCGGGGGGCACACAACGCCCCATGTCCGCTGAAAGGAGGGGAGGGGGTTGGCCCAGCGGCAGCTGCTGCCCCCAGCCAGTCAGCGGGGAGCAGGTGGATGACGCGTCCTAGCACGGGACACCCCGCTGGACTAGCCGTCTGCTCCCTCCCAGGCGGGGCAATAGCTCTGCCCGCGCCCTACCAATGAGGGCGCGCCCCCCGCCCGGGTACCGCCAGCGGGACAGGCACTGCTCACGTCGTCCCCACCAGTGAGTGGGGCGGGCTCCGGCCTAGCCCCGACTCTAGCGTCCCCCGGAGGAAACCGGCCACCGGCTGACCCGGAAGTGATTGATGGGGGCGAGGTAAGGGCCAGTTAAACCGCGGTTCCACGCAGTTCTGCGGGTAATCGCTGCAGTGCCCCGCCCCTCGGCCAGCGTGTCGCGTGCGTAACCAGGGGGACGACCTAAGCGGGGCGGGGAGGGAGACAGGACTCGGCTCCCCCACTCCTCACCGTCCAGGTAGAGCAGCGGTGCCAGGGCGCTCTCCAGACCCTGGCCGGCACGAGCCGTTCACCAGCCGGGGCAGGGACGAGGTGCGCGCAGCCCGCTCCCCTCCACCTGCGCTAGTTCCGGCCGGGCCCCGGTTCCGCTGTCCCCCTAGGGGCGAGGGGTGGCCGGCGGAGCCCCTGGTGGTGTCGGGCAGCAGTTAGTTGTCGGAGCGGGTTCCCAAGGTGTGAAGGGGACTCGTGCTCGGCGGGCGCTGGGCACCCGCCTCCTCTGCCTGCGGAACTCGCCTGCTCAGCGCTATGGAGCAGAGCGCTTGGGCCGCGCTGCAATAGCCAGGCTCCCCGGCGCAGCCCTGGCTCATGGGGAGGTAGGGTAGGTAATAGCGGCTTGCGATGGGCACCTGGCCCTGATCCCCCGCAGATTCCGTCTGGTATGTCCTAGCTAGAGGCCTCTGCCGTCGCCTTGGCGTTCATGTAACACACATGGAGAGAGGCAGAGCCAGACATTATGACGTTTACAAGCACGTGACTGTGTCTAGCAGGCCAGGTAATCCGCAGCAGACAGTCCGAAAAGACCAGAAACCTTTTATAGGATCAATATCGGGGTTGGAAGAGACCTCAGGAGGTCATCTAGTGCAACCCCCTGCTCAAAGCAGGACCAATCCCCAACTAAACCATCCCAGCCAGGGCTTTGTCAAGCCTGATCTTAAAAACCTTTAAGGAAGGAGATTCCACCACCTCCCTAGGTAACCTTCTCTCTGCCTAAGCTACCACCATCATTGCTGTTCCTAGGGTCAAGCTGGCTCTGCTGTGTTTGATTGAGATTCATTATAAGGGTCTCCCTCCTGTCCTACGTCTGAAAAAATGAAGAATCTGTGAGAAAAGAAGAATAGCTGACAAACATCTCAACAAACCCCTGCTATGTAGACACAGCCTACACTGACAGAAGGGTGTAGAAATGCCATCTCCCTAATCACTTTTCCATCTGTGTCTGTACAGGCGAGTTGTCAGCATAGCTGTGTCAGCCAAGGGTCTGGGGTTTGTTTGTTTGTTTTCCTCTATATCACAAGCCGATACAACTCTTCAGGGTAGACCAGATGTTGGTAGGCAGAGGAAAAAGGTTGGTCTTTCTCTCCCCCTTTTTTTCCCTCTTTAACAGTAGCTCTAAAAGAAAGTGCAGATCAAGAGTTCAAGGTCCATTTGATGAATTTAAATTAGATAGAAGCCAAGGTAGCAAGACTAACGAGAAATTCTTTTTTTCAGCTTAGGCTGACTTGAAGATTGTGTCCCTGTAACCTGCTGATCTATATGTGTTCTGTGCATAGGTGGGGTCTGTAATAGACTTGCATCCTTTGAGACAGGCACAGAGGCAGATATATAACACATGCTATCCTGTGGTTTACATCTCACTGTAGGACACAAACACACTCATAGTGATCTGTGCTTGGCCACATCAAAGCTAGCAGTGTGCTATATGCAGGGCTGAGCCTGAAGACTACCCAGTAAATATAGTAACTGATCTATCAAAAAGCAGGTGCCTAGTAGGTAGGGCAAATTGTTGTACATGCATTATCCCAAGACTCAGCATCCCTCATTGGTTGCTTATCTATTACCCAGGTCTGTAGTGCTGCCAGAGCAGTCCATACCATCACTCAAGCATGTGAAATCTATGATGAAGTTACCCTCCATCACCTTGAAAAACTATGCTCGGGCAGCTTGGCCGTGTCATTTTCTGAACCTCAGGGTATGCCTATGATAATGATGCTGCTGCACTGTCGCCTCTATGATTCTCTGCTCTTCCCCCAACCATGCGCCATCAACCCCACCCTCAGTATGTTACACCTCTCATGAAATAAAAGGGATGGTTCTCTCATGGATCAGTAATTGGTTAAAAGATAGGAAACAAAGGGAAGGATTAAATGGTCATTTTCACACTGAAGAGAGGTAAATATAAGGGTCCCCCCAAGGATCAGTACTGGGACCTGTGCTGTTCAGCATATTCATAAATGATATGGAGAAGAAGGTGAAGCGTGAGGGTAAAATTTGCAGACAATCCCAATTTCTCAATATGGTAAGTCCAAAGCTTCGTGTGAAGAGTTACAAAGGGATCTCACAACCCAGTGACAAAATGACAGATGAAATTCAGAGTTGATAGGTAAGGCTGCATGTCTGTCATGGAGGTCACGGAAGTCATGGATTCTGTGACTTTCCATGGACTTTTGCAGCAGCCCGTGTGGCTGACCCCAGGGCCACCCAAGCAGCTGGCCCTGGGGCCTGCTGCTCAGGCAGCCCCAGCCATAGCCACACCGGCTGCTGCTGGAGCGGCCCCATAGCCAGCTGGTCAGGTTGCCCTGCAGTTAGTCACACCAGCCACTGCTGGAGTTGCCCCAGGGCCAACCACACCAGCTACTGCTCAGGACCGCCCAAGCAGCAGCAGTGCTCTGGGTGGGTGCCCCCGTTGCAAGAGCAGCGGTGCCCCAGGCAACCTCCCTTCTCCCCAACCCCCCGAGCAGCAGTGCCCTGCCACCTCTAGTTAAGCTAAGCCCCCCCCACTGACCATGAATGTTTGTTTATTGCCTGTGACCTGTCCATGAGTAAATCGTAGCCTTATTGATAAGTGCAAAATAATGCACATTGGAAAAATTAATCCCAACTATATGTACGAAATGATGAGGTCAAAATTAGCTGTTACTATGCAAGAAAGATCTTGGAGTCATCATGCATAGTTCTTTGAAAACATCTATTCCGTATGCAATGGCAGTAAAAAGCTAACAATGTTAGGAATCATTACGAAAGGAATAGATAATAAAGCAGAAAATATAAATCCATGGTACACCCTGTGATGGGTGACCCCACACTGAACAAGTGGGGGTTAACCACATTGGGCCCAAGAGACCATATCCCCTAACCTCTGCTGCACATGCTCCCTCCCAGTGGAGGGAGCAGATGAAAGGAGGCTGGTCAGCTCAACCTGGGCTGACTGAGGAGGAGGATGAATGTATGCTGTTGAAGAATGGTCAGCCTGCTGAAACAGAGATCCCAGTCTATTGTGACAAAGTTCTGTTCTTGACTCCATGGGTCCTGCATTTCCTGATAGATTTTGCTAGCCTCAGAGGCTCACTGTGACCCTCCACATAGCCCTTCTCTCTCTAGGGGCAAGGGTCACAGTCTACTGAGCCATTTTCATCATAAGCCAGCAAGGGAAGTGAGGAGAAGCAACCCTCCCTCACACAGTCTCTGTTGTCTCCCAGTATCAGTGATTAATCAGGGAGGGGAGCGGGGAGCCCAGGCCCACCCTCTACTCCAGGCTCCAGCCCAGGGACCCTAAAATTAGCCAGCTATGGAAGCTGACTTTTTGGAAATAGGATGTGTACAATTTTCTGGGCCACTTCCCCATAGCAGCCCCCACTCAATATCTTCTTCACAATTACCTCAGGGCCTCCTTCCTTGCACCTGATATAGAGTTGTACTGCTTCATTCCTCCAACAGCACAGCTCCTGGCATCCACACCTCCCTAACTAACTGGGAGGCTTTTAACTAGTTCCAGCCAGTCTTTGATTGGCTTCAGGTGTCCTAATCAATCTAGCTATCTCCACTTCCTTCTAGAAGGATCTTAATTGGCCCCAGATGTCTTGATTAACCTGGAGCAACTGCCATTTGGTTACCATGGTACCAGGGATTTGTTTAGCCTGGGGCTAACATACCTGTTTCTCACTACTTTACTGTAGCCATCTGGCCTTGCCCCATCACACTATGTTATGGAGAACCCTCTAGCTGTAGAGACTGATGGGGACACCAAGCTGGTGCTCACAGAGGAGAGGTCTGAAATGGACTTAAGGCTAGGAATTGACCCAGGGAATATAGTGGAGTCAGTACTTGAATCCTGAACAGGAGGTTGCTAGCTGCACATGGCCCTGGATCGGAACCTGGTGGAGTAGCGTGGGCCTGGGTCTTCTATCCTGTGTTGGCAGGTGGGCATTACTGCTGGAGATTCTAGCTATAGACTGTGTGTGCTCTGCCCCATCCAGGGGGCTGAAGTTTCTTTGTTATTGTTTGCCTTAGCCAAAAGGTCGGGGGACTACAGACTGTTCCTTGGTTCTGACTCACCCAGAGGGCTGGAGTCCCTGTTTGTGTTTGTCTGCCCCAGCTGAGAGTCTCAACGTCTGTGTGATGGGGTGTATCAACCCTGCACTGGGTAAGTGGGAACACCCTTGTCCCTGTTCCCCCACCCCCCAAACAAGCAGAGCCCTGCGACACACCTATCCCTTGAAGGGCGGCCAGCACATCCCTCGGCCCGCACAGCTTCCCACGGCCTCCATTGGCCTGCAGCGGCGAACCGCAGCCAGTGGGAGCTGCAATCGCCAAACCTGCGGACGCGGCAGGTAAACAAACTGGCCCGACCTGCCAGGGGCTTTCCCTGGTGGGTCGCGTGCCAAAAGTTGCCGATCCCTGACTTAGGTCCTGCTTATCTGTACCGTAACCAATTATTTTTACTAAAGTATTATGAAACAATTCTTTCACTAGTCCTAGCACATTACTCCCTACATACAAGAATCAGTTCAAA